GGAAGAAAAGGAAACCAACCGAACTCGAACCGCAGCCGCCAATGGCCTGAAAGTTTCCAAGTTCTCCTTTTCGGCAAGAAATTAGATCATTGAGAAGGTAATGAAACAAAACAAGGGTTTAATTTTTCTTCAAAGAAAAGGGTTGAATTCACAATTTCTCGCATTATTGTTTCATTGGTGTTTAGGAAATTAGAACTGATTCCCATGGGCTATTCATCCTTGGGTTTGTTTATTAACCCCTCAATTCTATGAGATATATTTTTTTTTGTTACATCTTCTAAAAGTTTCAATATTATTTTTAAACTCGTTAAACACAAAATTGAAATATCTATCTACCTAATAAGGATTGACATGATATTTTTTTAGGGTTTTACCTTAGGATGACTATCAATCTCATTGAACGGTTGTTTTGGACTTTCTCGATAGTTTTTAAAATGAGTTTCTATGTTTGATTCTATCCATTTAGATTCTACCCATAATTTTTCGAAAACTCATTGTGAGCTCCATCTTAGATTTGCAAGTTGTCAAGATCAATTAACCAAGCCCCTTCTCGAGCCCAATCAATCTTTTGAAATCAACTAACCAAGCCCTTTATCTTGCCAAATCAACTTCCGAGCTTGTCACCTCCACACTTGGGCAGAGGTTTTCACTCATTATGCATTGCTCAATTTCAGGAAGCCTATTTTGTCGTACCCAATTAGGACTTTTTGGATACTCAAAATCGGTTAATCGAACACTTTTGGTGTTCAACCAACCTTCCGAGTCCCTTCCTTTGTTTGTTTCCCCAACACAATCTACCGTATTTATAGTAGGTTCAAAGTTTTGGCTCTAATCTATCAAGTAACTCGTATCAACAATACTACTAGTCGGGAGCGTGCATAACTGATAAACGGGTGGAAGCTTAATGCACGTGCACAGTTTTTTACTTGAGTTTGCTCTTTGTTACAAGATTTACAACATTAAACACATCATTTCTAAACGATCAACCTGCTCGAGATCGAGTTATCAATGACCCCAAGAAAAGTTGGGTTCTTAATGCCTAAGGCCAAGGCTAGCTAGGATTGGATTTTGGTTAAAACAAGCAAGTAGCAGTTCATCTAATTAGAAATTCTATATAAACATCATAAAGCACACAACTTTGAACTTCAATCATACAAATTTGATTGCAGGAAGTTTGTACTACAGACATTACAGAGCGCTCACTCATGGAGTCAAGAACAGTCGTTTCCTACCGAACCTGCTCGACTGTAAAGGAGAGGGGCAAAGCTGCTCGATTCTTCATTTTCTGGGGACGAAGTTGGTGGCATAAGCCCAAGCATTGTTGGCAACAGGGTCTGCAACATGGTCGAACAGATTCTCAATAGGACCCTTTCCAGTGACAATAGCCTGCACGAAGAATCCAAACATGGAGAACATTGCCAGCCTTCCATTCTTCAGCTCCTTCACCTTCAACTCAGCAAAGGCATCTGGGTCATCCGCCAATCCCAGTGGGTCGAACGCCCCTCCTGGGTAGATTGGGTCCAGCCCTTCACCAAGGGGACCGCCCCCAACCCGGTAGCCTTCCACGAACCCCATCAGCACAACCTGGCAAGCCCAGATGGCCAGGATGCTCTGAGCGTGGACGAGGTTTGGGTTGCCAAGGTAATCGAGGCCACCTTCGGAGAAGATCTGAGAACCGGCCTTGAACCATACTGATTCACCGAACTTGACACCATTCTTTGCAAGGACTTCAGGGAAGACACAGCCTAGTGCACCGAGCATGGCCCATCTGGAGTGGATCACCTCGAGCTCACGGTTCTTGGCGAAGGTCTCGGGGTCTGCTGACAGACCGGCTGTGTCCCAGCCGTAGTCACCTGGGAACTCTCCAGTCAGGTAGGATGGTGTTTGTTCAGAGAAGGGTCCCAAGTATTTTGGGCGATCTGGACCATACCTGTTGGGAAAACAAAGCGTTTGCATTGAAACTTAAATTTCTTTTTTTTTTCTCGAGTTCATCGTATTCACCAAGAGAAATCCATAAGGCGGAGATGGAGAAGTTCCTGCCTCCTATTTCAATCTCTATCTCTACGAAATTCTCAATTTCGTAGGGATGAGAGTAGAGATTTACTGCTTAAAATTTGCAGGAACTTCTCAAACGGACGGTAGTATGAGAGTTACTATCCAAGCCTCAAATCTATGAGAGCGCGATTCTCGCCTAACTAGTCCATACCCAAGATGACATCGGAATCTTGCATGTTTAACACTATCAGACTTCTATGACTCATTTTGACACTGTTACACTACCTCCCTTAACCCTATGAGTGTAGCCATCAAAAACTCGTGACACTGTTATACTACCCCTTAATCCTATGAGTAGCCATCAAAAACTCGTGAGCAGAGGGGGTGAATACGGACAAGGTGGCTCGGACAAGGTGGCTCTAACGGTTCCAACTCTAAATGGGCTAGCTCAACAAATCCATCAAAGATAAATGAGTGTATAGAACCCGGATCAAATAATACCAAGGTCAAATGACCAAAGACAGGTAGTGTATCTGTCACAACTGCGTCGGGCTCATCAGGCTCGCCCAGTTAGAGACGAGCCTCTGCGGGGACAGCCCCACGAGTTGAATAGACACGACACTTTATATCACAGGGTAAAAACTAGATAAATATACTAGCATAAAGATACAGAAAACACATCAGGGCAGAACTTTAGAACAGTTTTAACTTCCTCTGATCCTGACAAACAAAAAGAGAGCTAAACAAACACTCCCAACAAACTGCTAAAGTAAATATATGAAGGAGCTTTACCATATGCTTTGAGGGGCACTCTTGACCGTCCGCCGCATGGTGAAGCGGCTGCCACCGAAAGCGCCGACCTTTCGGACGAGCTCATTGGATTGCTTCAAGGCAGGCTGGCCGGCAAAGGCGGATTGCTGGATAGCAGAGGTGGCCATTTTTGGGTGAAGGCTGGGTTTAGACGAGGATGAAGGTAGTGAAAATGGAGGTTATATTGGGGATGGAAAGATATAGTGGATTAGGATTGCTACACGTCAGCAGCATCCTATTGGTCCTTCTGCTTAAACCCAGATTCTCATGCAGATTATTTATGGCGTATTATTAAGCCACGTGGCGTATAAGATATTGGTGGGGTCGTCCACATGCCACAAGTATCCTTTTTATTGGGCCGAGACAAGACAGCCCAAAACTCCAATTGATCAAGTGGGCCGTTAGATTTGTCCTCCAATATCTTGGGAAATGTTTGGTTTTTCAAATTTGGGAAGAATTAAAATAGTAACATATAAAAAATGTATATAATATAAATAATATGAATACTTTTCTCGGTGTTACTTCACACGTATCTTCTATCACTAATGTCTCCTCACCACATTTTTTTTTTATATTTGTAAGTGTTCGAGTCATTTTGCGTACATCTGGACTATTCTCAGACACAACTATCTGACTCTACTATATTTGGCTCCCAAAGAACATTAAAAAATATTGAATTTTAGGATTTTGTGAACTTCTTCCCTCTGAGCCATTTTATTATATTCACATAGTCTGAATTGACTATTATGTAGTATATTTAGGGGCAAACTCTAGGTCTAGTAAACTCTAAACGTTGAACCCTTATCACAAATCCAACTTTAATATTAAGGAGTACGTTTTTTTGTAAGAGGTCTAAAAAATATGTAAGAGCCCTAGATTTTTCAAACTGATAAAAGAGTTTCAATAATATCTTTAACTTAAAAAAAATTTAAAATACTTTTACGGATGAAAAATGCTAGTACTTCAATTAAAAAAAATACTTTTGAACTTTGAAAAGTTTTATTAATAGAGAGTTTTAAAGTTATGTTATCATTAAAACTTTTAAAAATTTATCGGTCGTTTTTGCAAAGAAAATTCTAATGATTTATATATATATATATAATACAAAACGACATTTTAAAGAAAATTAGCTTCCATGTAAAGTTGATAAGCGTTTATTCAATATTGGACCGCATATATGTAAAGAAACTCGAGGAACGAGAAAACGGAAAAGACTTACAATGTTAGGGTTCTTGGTCGAAGGGGGCCGCAAGGAGAGCCGCCGTGTGAATCAAATGATACCGAGACGCCGTTTTCCAATCCTTTACAAATCACAACATTGATTTCACGGAAAAGAAAAACCAAACATTCAAAATCAAATCGAAGAAGAACACATGAAAGAAGCGAAAGATCAGACAAATTAAGCTCTTCAATCCAACCTGTTTAAACCGGAAATCAAGCCACAATCGAATTCATATCGCGAAGCTACAAAAGAAAAAAGAAAAAAAAAAAAAAAAAAAAAAAAAAAAACACGAGAATCGAGGAAGAAATTACCAGAAATCGGCGCGACTTTGTGTCAGCGAAGTGGGGGTTCATCTTGTTCGAAAGCGGCTTTGAGAAATGTGAAGGTTTCTTTCTTTATTTCTTTTTCTGCGAATCATGACGGCTTTGAGAAATGTCGCAGTCCACACCCGAAATATCGGTCCAAAAAGAAGAGGAAAAAGGCTCTTTTCTCTTCTGCTGCTTGCTCTTCATTCACTTCATTGCCCACAAATTGCAGACAGGTCAATGAGTTGACTTTTTCCCCCCATTGAAACTGCGGCTAGGCAATACAATGAATGGAAGAACTGGTTACTTCGTAGTAGCTGCAAGGGAAAAAGCATTCTAATGGAAGCTTGGGGCTAAGAGCTAAGATTTTCTGTTTAAACAGTAGCTATGGGACTCGACATTCCAGCTTTGACACGAAGAGACTAATATTTCCCGGCTCGATAGATTACGGTACATTTAATTTAATCTAGCTCGACGTAAGATAATGGTGTTTTGAATATGTGAATGAGAATCTAGGAGTGTAACAGTCCAAGCCCACCGTTAATAGATATTGTCTTTGTGTGAGAATGGGGAGGTTGGAGGTTTCCACACACTTATAAAGAGTACTTCGTTTTCCTTCGTTTTCCTCCTCAACCAATGTAGGATCTCACGAGAGCATTAGGGAAATTAGAAAATCAGTAGTTTGTCGTATGAAATGAGGCTTCAAAGCATTGAAGCTTCAAATTTTACAACAAGATCAAGAGAATAAACAGCCAAGTTCTCGTTCATTTCCATTAGAACAAAGTAAGAGAAACTAATCTGGAAGGAAAAAGGAAAAACAAAGCTCTGCTGATTAACAAGGGCAGGGAAGAACGTAGCATAATAACTTGTATTGTGGTGCATGCAGTGCAGGATAATATGCCTCAAAGTTTCTCAGCCAACGAAAATTTTTCAAGTGCTCCTTTAAGATTACGACCAGATAGAGATAGAAAGCATTTACTTGAAGCTAAATTCGTCGTCATAGAAGCAAATCAGCAGACATTATCCAAATCATCTGTAGGTTTCTCACCTTGTCTGTAATGGCATTTGGCCAAACTCATGAGACATGTTTGTACAGTTAGACCTAACTTTGGTTAAGACTGCTCAGATCGACTCCCACCCATTATCATCGTCTTCGTCGTCGTCGTCGTTCTCCTGCTCAACTCAACTCAACTCAATTGGGTTTCAGTTAACCCTTCATTTTCTGTGGCAGTGTGGAGCAGTTCGTCGGGAGTGGCGGCCGGATCGAGATCCCAACAATGTTCAGGTAATGTACTTGTTTCTCCCTTTAGTAAATAAGAAGGTACCTGGTGTGAAAATCGTAGCATTTCTTTCCTGGGAATCCAACGAATGGCATCTTTGTCTGTATTTCTTTGATAAACCGTCTTGAATCCAGTTAGTTTCACAAGGGGGCACACACAGACACCAAGCTCTTCAGAGTAATCATCAAGAACTTCCACCATTTCATATCGGTGCCTCACTTCATCAGGGGTTGATCTGTCCCAGTTTGATGACCAGTTTCGATAAACAGCCCAAATGTCTCCATTTCTTGGATATATCCGAATGCAGCCTCCCCTACCAGCCTTTTCGCGGCTTAAGACATGAGAGAAGATGTTGATATGTTCAATAACATCAGAGTGCCAAGCACGAAAATTTCCACAGGACTTCGTAAACCCGTACTCCAACCAGTTGACTGAGCCGAATTCCGTATCAGTTTTGGAGTTTAAGTAACTGATATGAATCTTAAATGGTTTAACAGAGATGATCTCGCGAATCAGACAGTACAAGCGAGGCATGCCGTCTTCTTCATCGTAAAGAGCCCATATTTGCTTTGCCTTGAAGCATTCCTCTGATCGATCTTTGTCAAAATCGTGGAAGTCAGAATCAGGTACGTTAATTGAGACTGGTCCAGCTTTATCTTTGTCTAACCTACGCCCGGATACGTCGGTATTAGTAGTTTTCGGTGCCCGTCCAGTCTTTCCAACCAATCCAACTTGAGATCCCGTTTTTGATTTCTCAAGAGAAGCAGTGGCTGAAGAAATCCTTATCTCTTCCAATTTCTGGCGAATTACAGTCCTTGCCTTCTCAATTAGCAGCTTTCTGGCGTCGAATGCCGGAGGGACAGGGGAGCGCTTAGCTGAAAGCTCAGTTGGAGAGGAGCAAACTAAAGGCTCAGGCATAACAGTGGCATTTCCATTAGCTACTCCTGAATCTGAAGCAGCCAATGGTCCCTTCTCCACATAACCATTTCTCAAACTGGCTTCTGCAACAACCTTCCTTCTCTTATCAGCTCCATTGCTATCTGATCCCAAGATCTCATGACAGCTAGAGGGTATGCTTGCATTCATATTAGCCACCTTGTTTTTTGTAGGGCGCTTCCCGTTGACTCTTGCCTTTTCTTTCACTCCTGATGAACTGAAATGCCCATTTGTTTGACCAAGATTATCAACAGGTACTGAACCCGGCCCATTCGGGCCCAAGGTTTGTGTGTAGAATGCAGATGACGAGTTCCACTGAAACGACACATTCGAAACATACTCATATCCATGTCCAGTATAAAAGCTAGTATCTCCTGGGATATACGTAACTCCCTCAAATCCATGACTTCCATATCGATTACCCGCAACATTTGACCAGTTGCAGTAAGGAAAAGAACCATTCACAGGGGCAGCTCCTGTTTCCACAGCAATGAAAACGCCACGGCAATTCTTGCACCGAAGTTTCTTGTTCACATATTTACGGAGATACTCATACTGAACTTTACAAGAGGTGCAAACAGTCCAAAAGGTATCGAGTCTACTGTGCGACATGGACAGGTTGGTATAGTTGTTAAAACTCGTAGCCGCAGAAGCATGAGGTGAAGATAAGTTCGGTTGGCTAACAGCAGATGCCAATTGAGTGGTTCTCTTGATATCATACGCATTTCTCTTGGAATTATCAGAAAGTAGAGCCCATGCTTCAGAAACAAGCTTAAAAGCTCCGTCAGCCCCGACAGTCTTATTCTTGTCGGGATGAAGCAACACAGCCATCTTCTTGTACTGTTTTTTAATAGCATCTTTGTTCGCAGAAGGCTTCAATCCTAGAATAGAATAATAGTCCACTTCACCATTACACATAGTCTCAGAGGCAATGTAAACATCAAAAGTTGACACCATTTGAGATATCCCTTCCAGCTCTGGGAACAAAGTTTTGGCCTTCAATGCATAATTCTTTGCACCATTGAAGTCTCGCTTCACGAAACGCTTCTCAGCAACCACTTTTGCTTTAAGGGCCTCCTCTTTGTTTACTTCCATTTACAAATCTAAATCAGTGACAGACCAAAAACACTTCAAGACAAAAACTACGACCAGTGAGTTGTTCTTAACAGCTCATGAAGCCACATTCTTAAACATATACACATTTCCACGTTCCCTAATAATTGCCACAAATGTCAACGTTCCCACGGGAATTAGCTTGAAAAAGCGAACAATTCCTGCAGAGTTTTTGAACATTACAGTAATTAACATGAAGAAAGGGAAATAGAAGACAGATCTTGAACGGGAAATTCATGCTAGTTTAGCATCTAGCAACAGTATACTGCAAAAAAGGAAAAAAAAAATCAAAGCCTCAAGAATCTCGATCTTTGAAGTAAAAGAATCAACCAGTCCCAATCTCAAACAGTTCGACAACATAGACATTTTCAATTCTCAGTAGTCAGAGTACAGCCGCAACAAAAAATCTCAACATTCCATCACCATCTTCAGTTTCTTCAACATTCAAACACTTCAAACCAAAATCAGAAACCCCATTTCGCAACAAATCCGTATGAACAAGAAGGCACAAGATTCAGCTCAATTATTAAATCAAAACCCATAGCACATGTAAAATGAAAATCCATACGCAACAAATACTTTATCCCTTGAAATTAAAAAAGAACGATAAAGCCAAAAAAAGAAATACCTAAAAGAAGCTCACTGAAATCCGAGCAAGAAAATGGAGGTAGTAACTATCCAGATCGCCACGTGTACTTCGAACATCGAGCGAAACTTAGCTCACCTGTAGGCAAATCTCACTGTACCAGAGGCACTAACTCACTCAAACGAACTTCCTCCCGCGAAAACCAGAAGAAATTCCCCTAAAAATTAGGTTTCCCTTTTTTCAAAATAAAAAATAAAAATAGGGGAAAATGTAACTGCAAGTTCACAGACGAGTAAATTAGGGTTCATAAAATTGAAGAAATCTGAAAGTCGGACATGGAAGATTTAGATCCGGTTCGGAGCCGGCTCTGCCTCCGGAGATGCGGCGGCGACGAATTTGGAGATGGAGGCCCTCGATCGCCGGTCGGAAAAATTAGAAAGAGAAAATAAAAATTAGTGTAATGTTGTAATAATAATAAAAATGGAAATATAATCTTGTAAAATGGAATTGTAATATGCTATTTAATGGTGCGTCCTGCTAACATGCGCCATTTTTTTTTTTTAATTTATAGTAATATAATTTCACATTTCCTCTTTTTTATAAAAAAAAAATAATAATAATTTTATTTTTGCATTTTTAGATTATAATTAAAAAACTGAAAACACATAATTTAATATTAATTTTATTGTTTTTTTTAACTAAAAATCAATAATGTAGCTTAATAATTATTTTCCTCTTTTTTAATTTCTATTATTTCATTAACTATAAATTAATTATGGTTTATATTATCTCATTTGTAATGCAATTTTTACTTCTTTCATGGATAATAATAATAATAAAGAATATTACTTTTTTTTACCTTTTTTACAGATTTTTACCATTTGAGTCTTTGAGAGGTAATTATTATATATGTTTTGGAATTAACCTTATTATAAAATTAAACATAAGCTTTTTGTGCTATGGTTTTCAATATTCCATGCAAATTAAATGCGTACTTTTTTAGATTTTAGGTTTATGTTGTTTGACTTTAGTCTTATTTTCGCTCGGGTGCTATTAAAGTATAGCAAAAATCAGTCACGATAAGCTATTTATGTAGATAAAGTGAATATGTTTCCTTACATAACATTTTATACTGGTCGTGTAGGTCGAACTACATTGGCCGAAGAACATAAAATTAAGTTCTGGTTTTTAAAGGCACCTAATCATGCTCGGTGAATTTTTATGATTCCTAATAAAGTATAACTACAAACGATTCGACATATTAAATTCTTTATACTTTACCATTAGTAAGAATGTGCAATAAACTTTGGTTAAAAAATAGGAGCATATACTATGCTTTTATATAAAGATAAGGATCATATCATAATTAAGGTTTAAGTATATCGATTATAATATATAGTTTTTTTATTCAAGAAAATATAGATTATCATAATTAAGGTTTAAGTATATCGATTATAATATATAGTTTTTTTATTCAAGAAACTATAATATATATATATATATATAATAGGTTGAAAGTATGGAGCTTGAACCCACATTTATGGTCTTTTGTATCATCATTAATGCCTCCTATAATACAAACAATAAGAATGCATCAATTGGTTTGAGATTTTTTTAATAATTGATAAAATATATATATATATTATTTATTATTAATATCATTACTTTAGTGAAATACACCTATAAATTTGTTATTGTGTTCCTATATTTTACTATATATATATATATATTATAATAAACTAAAACCTAAATAAAAAAAAAGAAAAATAAATATAATATTTAAAACAAAATTAGACGTTTTGAGTGTAAGCCAATCGAACATCGTTTGTGCGAATTTCAAGCTTGTTCGACCACACACGCCATCTGCGCGTGTACGTTCAATTATCTGCGACACATTCGACTTGCCTTTACACTAGGCCAAGTCATTTGGCTCGACTTTGCCTCTACTCGGAGCAAAGGTGTCTCGATACGACGTCGTGTTTGTTCTCGTCATCTCGATCTCCATCGACATTGTCCATATGTCTTGACGCATCTCTAGTCTTGGGCTGTCGTCAGCCATTGCAACTCACTCGGTCATGTCATTGAGAACGGGCCCGCGTGTCGCTCATCTCATCGAGACATCCCAAACATCCATCTATTTGGGTTCTATTGAGACATTCGTCCTCCCGTGCCCATGCCATGTCATTTACGGATACTGTGCCGTAAATGACATCATCAACCCTCAACCGTCAATTCATAATAAAGTCATAGTACGTAGTTAATTACTTAATAAAATTATAGAGACCAAATTAAAACCCGACACGAGCTAGAAGAATGGCAAAAGGAGTAAATATAAGTAGGTTGTGAGAGAAGAAGCCCAATGGGCCAATTCAAAAGATGGGCTTGAGGAAAGAAGGGGATAGAGAGAGAGGACCCTTCAAAAATCCAAAGCTAATATATATTTACTTATATTTATAAATTTAATTTTAAAAAATAATAATAAAATAAATTTATAATTTAACCTTATAATTTTGTAATATAATTTAACCTTAAAAAATATAATTATGTAATTAAATAGAAAAAATATAAAATTTTGATAAAGATGTTTAACCTAGCAATTAAATGCCACATATATCAATCAAATATTATCATTCACAAAAATAATATCCACCAACAATTATATTTATTTATTTATTACAGCTATAAAAACATGAAACACGACATTTTATTCATTAAATCTTGGTTTCGATCAAATTTTAAGATGTTTTGGACCAATACTTTTGTGCCTCCTATTCGTGTTGTCCACGAGGTTGCTTGGACTCTATGAACGTATTATTAACAAGGAAACCCTTTTGTTGTGAGGTGCTTTGGAGCAGATTTGAACTTTTGACATCTTGATCGAGAGTAAACGGCATGAGCTAAAATTTAGATATCGTGTAGTTCCTCCATTTGGTGGTCAAATCGATAAGATATTTGTTTTATGAAGTCGTTCCTATTTACATCATAAGCTTAGTTATCTAACCGTGCATAACTCGATAAGATAGACTTGTCTGGTGTCCAAATCGAATTGATGTATTTCATAAAGTACATATATATACCATTGATATACATGCTAGTATACCAATAAGGGTAAAATTGGAATAATAAAAAACGTAAATAAGATTTACGAACTGTGATATGCGTAGCTGACTGCTCTACTACTAAGCTATGAAGAAACAATAGTAAATTAGGTCTCAGAGAATTGAATTCCCGTTCTCGACCCATGGCCTTCTCTCTGTGTATTTTTGCTACCCATTACAATTCGTGCTAAACCTTAAATTACATCATAATTTTCAAACACAGAGGTCACATGGAAAGTCTCCTTGTGTTCATCATAAAACAAAAGCATTCCTTTGTGAAAATTAACAAGTCATCTGTCAAAGTCTTCTTAATAAAATAAAATAAAAAGTTGACAGACTCAAAACCCAAATTACCCCTAAATCATTGAACACCACCCCACAAGGAAAAGGGCAAAATCGTCATTTCACAGTTTCATATGTTCACACAGGGCTCCACAATTCATTATAAATAGAGCAAAAAGAAAGCATTTTTGAAACAAAAAGATTGAATCTTTGTGAAAATTTTGAAGAACCCAGTTGACCCAATTGCCCAAAATCATCAAAAATTCCCACAATGAAGCTTTTGATCTCAGCTTCTCTGCTCTCTGCAATGGTGTTTTACTCATCTCTTCTCCCTTTCCTCCACTCTTTCAACCTTTATATCTCTGCAACAGCCCACAAGAACTACATTTTCTTGCTCTGCAATGGCCTCCTTGCCTTCATTGTTCGAAACTCCGGTCTTATCAACTGCTCCGGCGACCAACACAGCAGCGGAGCCACCAGGGGAGCTGAAGCTCTAGAGGCTGCCATGGCGGATGGCAGCAGCAAAATTGAGAGCAAAGTTGAAGATAGAGAAGAAAGGGGGAATGGGTTGATTCAATAAGATGAAGAAAGTGAAAGATCGATGGCAGAGGATGACGACGATAACGACGACGAAGAAGAAGAAGTTGGGGCATTGAGCAAAGAGGAATTGAATAAGAAATGTGATGAATTCATTAGAAAAATGAAGGCTGGAATCAAGCTTGAATCACAGCAAGTGCTTGTTTTGTAACTTAGAATCCATTTAGGGAGAAAAATAATTAGCATGACATTAATATTAACTTAAATAAAATATTATTTATTGTCGTTCCAAGAGTCTTTAGCTAAAAATAAAATAAAATGGTTATCAAACAAACGTAACTATAAATACTGACTAAATTTTAAGTTGGGTTTTGTTCGGTTGAACTTTAATTATTAAACACTTACATCATCAGAATTAAAGTATATAGTTGTTGGGTTACCTCTAACATGTAGTCGAGTAAATACATATTTTAGAGATAAGTTCGATAAAAATAATGTTTAAAAAAGTTGTTCAATAAAAAATGAAAAAATAAAAATAAAAATCAAATTTGTAATAAATGGCTCTAACTCAAGTAGAGACTTTTGGTTTGGTCTTTGGTCCTTATTTTAGGTCTTTTTCTTACCACACATGATTTTCCAAGCTTGATGGTATAAAGGTCATACAACATGTCGGGTAGAGTTACTGTGTTCGTGTAATTGTGGATGAACTCATTAATGACCTATTCAATTGTCAATGATCATGAATCTCGATGATACCTTGATTGTTGAAAAGAGGAAGTAAAAAAAAATCATTTACGAAAATGCACGCTTTCGACGAATAGTTATCGAGTGAGCACGTTAAAAAGAAATGGTTGTGCTATATGGATATGAATTAAAGAAAAAGACAAAAGGTTTATTTTGCCTCCATAGACAAAAGGGTGTGCAATGGGAGGCAGGTAGGGTCAGCCACAAGGAATATGTTGGGGAAGTGAGGATGTCTTGAGAGCATAATGAGTTGGCACATTATCCTCCCTTTGTACAACGTTGGCTCAAAGGAATAACTAAAGTTTGTGAAAAAAGATTTTCAAACTCTTTGATGATCTCATCGAAATCATCTCATCTTTTGAGATTTATAATAATTCGAGAGTATTTATCCACATACGAGAATTGGATCGGCTAATCCACGATATCCGACATGCATCTTACTTTTTTGTAATTTAAAATATCAAATTTACAGGAAACTTAAAAAAGATCGGCTAAATGCAAAATTGAAAGTTTAAATCCCCATAATTATTTTGTTTTTGAAAATATGCTCGTTTTTCTTAAGACGACAATATTTGAGTTCTTTGTCAAAACCTAAAACAAAATGACTTATTTTAGTTTTCAGGGTGGAAGCCATGTTTAAAACCCAAAAACCAAAATCAAATGGTTATCAAACGATGTCACAAGAACCTACAAGACACTGTTTAACGTTCAAAGACTTACGGAAAACAAAGCTGAAAGTTCAACCGCCTCATAGACGTTTTTTTTTTAAAAAGTAAAGAGATCAAATAAACAAAATGGAAGACTTTCCTCCCA